TTTTCTGATATAATTAAAAATATACAAATTTAATATATTGTAATTACTATTTAAAATTATTTTAAAAATATCTAAAATTATTATATTCAGATTGTATGATCAGCATAATGATTTGAGTGACAAACAATCATAAATTTGAGAATGAATAGAATTCTGTATGTCTGTACAAAAGAGTCACATGATCAATAACGCTCATTTAGTTTACTTTGATTATTCACAGAGAAACGGTGCATCTGAAATATCTCTTTATTTTACATTATAGTGTTTCTATAACTTTGAGTGATAAATAATCATGAATTGGAGAAGGAATATGAGCACCTGTACAAAGAGTCACGTGATCAATGACACTTATTTACTTGCATTTGATTAGTCATCTGTAAATAGTGCATCTGAAATGTTTTTATTTTCCATTAAAGGCCTAAAAATCGATTATTTCCATGTTTAAATGCAAAATGTTTTTATACTTTTGGGTCCAGCTTTAGTTTTGCAACTGCAGTCGACAAATACTCATCATTTTGCTCAGAAAACTATAAACGTGTTTAATATGCAAACACATCACTTTTTGATTTTTTTCAGGGTTTAGTCTCTTTTTTACAACCGGTCATGAACCGTACGTGATGCGCTGGCATATTAGTCATGTGCCAGTGAATATAGTGTTTTGTTCTGCAATGGAATATCAATAATCAGATGGAGTGTTATTCAGCAGTCGTTAACAGATTTGATGTGATTGTATTGGCAGTGGCACCAGCAACACAGATCAGCTGAGCGTGAAGGACAGCGGTAAAGGAGACAGTGATTTCAATGACAGCGACTCTGACATCAGCGGAGCTGCTCAGAAAAGAGGCCTGACGACCTTCCAGCCGGTGGCCAGAGGTGCGTACACTTATCTGACCCACCAGCTTTACAGTGTTTTCTTTGAGATTGTTGGCTTTGCTGCGAACTGTGATTTTCTTACTCGGTATTTGTCTTGTTTTCTAGTACTAATATCTAAACAATCCTAAATCACAGAATATTTACTTGAAATGAAAAAAATGTATACAGCAGGGTTGTGCTTTGGACAATATAAAGAGAACTTTTGCAATGTTATTATGTTTATTGATGCCTGTTTTCAGCCATTTACTTCAAAAATACAATCCAATAGAGATGTAAAGAATCCAAATCTAAGAATCCAGATTTGAATCCCATTGTCTTTAAAAGCTTAGTTCACCCAAAAATGAAAATTCTGTACTTAATTCCTCATGTCATCATTCATCTTCGGAACACATATAAAGATTATTACACATTATTTTTGATGAAATCCGAGAGCTTTCACAACATAGACAGCAACACAACTACCACATTCTAGTCCCATGATAGGTAGTAAGGACATCATTAAAATAGTCCATGTGATATCAGTGGAAATCATAGACCAGGGCTGTC